GGCTGCCGTGTCCTCCACGGAGTGACCTCCACCCCCACACCCCCTGCACCCCCAGAGCCAACACCACCAGCTCTTGCAGCCCTAGTACCCTCACCCTCCGCAACTGCACCTCTAGCACCCCCAAACACCACAGAGACTGGACGCTGCGGGGGGGACGACTCCGGAGTGACGTGCGACATACCTGACGGGGCAGTGTTAGACCATTATTGCTTATTCATCTGTGTAGGCTGTAGTGGGGTAGCCCATAAGGGGTACAACCCAATTAGGGTTAGCACTTGTACCCAACTGTTTCATAGTTCAACCATTCTCTCGTTCTAAACTTCACATGGTATCAGAGCGGTCTCGAGTTCGATTCCCGGTGTATGCACATGTAGGCCGGTGCCGCTCTGCTTAGTCCTGGGCCTCCCAGTATGGGGGGGTGTCAGTAGATCTGCACTGTGGATGCCCGATTGATCCTGGAGAGGGTTACAGGCGCGTTCGCCTGGGGGGTTATGGGCGCACTGAAGTTGGTCCTGCTGGAGCTGTGACGGTACTAGTGCTGCTGGAGCTGGAGCTGCTGGGGGTGTTGGCGCTGGTGTTTCTACTGGCGCTGGTGCGTCTCGGGGTGCTGCTGAGGCTGCTGGAGCTGACGGTCCTACTGGAGTTGGTGCTGCTGGAGCCGGAGCTGCTGGCGGTGTTGGCGCTGGCGATGCTGCTGGCGCTGGTGCTTCTGGGGGTGCTGGAGTTGGCGCTGTTGGAGCTTGAGATGCTGCTTACGCTGGTGCTGCCGCTGGGGGTACTAGTGCCGTCCTTGCTGGTTCTAGAGGCGCTAAGCGACCGAGGCCGTACTTCGTTCCGCTCCTGGAGCAGGTTCTTGGTCTCCCGCCCTCTCCTGGTCCTGCTCCTTCCTTAGAGTGTCCACAGCCTGTCCAGTCGCAGTCACAGTTACAGCCCGCCTCCCCTCTACCTGCTCCTTCTCCCTACACTGGTCTTACTAGGGGTCTTGCTGAGCGTCGTGAGCCTGCGTCTCGTCCTGCGTCGCCTGTTCGTGCTGCTCGCACTAGTGGTCGTACTGCGCCTCCGCGTCCTCCTGCGGTCCCCGGCACACACCAGATGGCACTGCGTCCTTCCACTGCTCCTCTGCGTGTCCCGTTGCCGTCTCCTCCAGAGTCCTCTCTTCCTACTCTTGCTGACCCGGAGTCTGACTCTCTTCGTGCTGCTAGTCCTTCAGGTCACGCACCTCCTTGCTAGTGTTGTCACTGACCCTTCCTTTGAGTCCACTGCTGCGTCTGCCCTAGTTGCTGAGCTTGTTGACTTCGCTGCTCGCTGTCGTCTAGACTACGCTGCTAGTCTTGTTGCTGATTCTGGGTCTGTCTGTCCTCCGTCTGTCGGGGGTGAGTGTGCTCTTAGCACGGACGTTCTTGAGGACAGGCAGGAGGATTTCCAGTGCTTTGCTGCTGCTTTGCCCCATCTCGTGTCCACGCTAATTGCCCCTGAGGGAGACCCGGATGCACCAGACATCCCGACTCCTCGATCATACGCTAAGGCGATCGACGGTCCCTACTCCTCTCAGTGGCAGTCAGCCATGGACGCAGAGATGGCTTCCCGGAAGTCCACAGGCACCTACGTCGACGAGGTTCCCCCACCTGGGGCGAACATCGTCAGTGGCATGTAGATTTTTAGGGTGAAGCGGCCGCCGCGTTCTCCGCCTGTCTTCAAGGCGCGTTACGTGGCTCGAGGCTTCAGTCAGCGGCAGGGAGTTGACTACTTTCAGACCTTCTCTCCCACCCCGAAGATGACCACTCTTCGGGTGCTGCTGCACATAGCCGCTCAGCGCGACTACGAGCTTCACTCTCTTGACTTCAGCACAGCTTTCCTGCAGGGCAGCCTGCACGAGGAGATCTGGCTGCGCCGCCCTCCTGGCTTCACTGGGTCGTTTCCTCCTGGCACCCAGTGGAGCCTCCGGCGGCCAGTCTACGGTCTCCGCCAGGCACCCCGTGAGTGGCACGACACACTCAGGACTACACTTGCGGCTCTTGGGTTTGCTCCTTCTACAGCCGACCCGTCGCTGTTTCTGCGCACCGACACCTCTTTGCCGCCGTTCTACATCCTCGTGTACGTCGACGACTTGGTCTTTGCCACTGCTGACACTGCTGGACTCGCCCACGTGAAGTCCGAGCTGTAGAAGAGACACACGTGCACAGACCTGGGTGAATTGCGCAGCTACCTTGGCTTGCAGATCACCCGGGACAGAGCACAGCGCACCATTACCCTGACTGAGTCACACATGGTGCACCAGGTCCTCCAGCGCTTCGGCTTCACGTACTCCTCGGCCCAGGCTACTCCTCTGTCTACTCGCCACTCGCTCTCGCCTCTGCCTTTGGATGAGTCCGTAGAGCTGAGTGGCCCGTACCAAGAGCTTGTTGGCTGCCTCATGTACCTGATGACCTGCACATGACCTGACCTTGCATACCCTCTTAGCATCTTGGCACGCTATGTTGCTCCTGGGAGACACCGACCAGAGCACATGGCTGCAGCTAAGAGGGTGTTGCGCTACGTGTGCAGTACATCGGACATGGGGCTAGTGCTTGGAGGGCGACGTCCAGTGGTCCTCACAAGTCACGCTGACGCTTCTTGGGCTGACGACCAGGCTCTGCAGCGGTCGTCACAGGGTTACACCTTCAGCCTTGGCTCCGGCTCTGTTTCGTGGCGGTCTACTCGCTCGTCTTCTGTTCTCAGCTCCAACTGTGAGGCTGAGATCTACGCAGGGGCCATGGCTGCACAGGAGCTACGCTGGCTCACCTACCTGCTGATTGACCTAGGAGAGCCGCCTTGTTCTCCTCGAGTTCTGTACGTAGACAACAAGGCCATGCTGGCCTTGTGTCGGGAGCACAGACTAGAGCACAGAACGAAGCACATTGCTCTCCGCTACTTCCTAGCTCGTGAGCTGCAGCAGCATGGTCAGCTCCGCCTCACCTACGTGGCCTCTGAGGCCAACACTGCTGATATCTTCACCAAGGCCCTTCGGCCTTGTGATCATCAGCGCTTCTGTACTTTGCTAGGTCTTGTGCCTACCTGGCCTCACTTGCTCACTTCTTGATCTTGTTTGTACTGTACTATTTCTATACCTGCACTTGCTTGTTTACCTTTATATATATGATCTTGCATGTGAACTGGCCTTGTGGCCTTGCTCTTGTGCTCGGACTGTGTGGTGACTTTGTGATCCACCCTGAGCTTACTTTGCTTTGCTTGACTGGTCTTGTGACCACTTGTTCTCCCCCACTTTGTCTATGGGGATGTGTCAGACCATTATTGCTTATTCATCTGTGTAGGCTGTATTGGGGTAGCCCATAAGGGGTACAACCCAATTAGGGTTAGCACTTGTACCCAACTGTTTCATAGTTCAACCATTCTCTCGTTCTAAACTTTACAGGCAGGACGCAAAGGAAGGGGGGCCTACTAGGGCGACTGGGGGGGGCTCAAGGGTGAGGAACAGCGGGGGGGAAAAGACCTCAGTACATTAGTAGGGGCGACTCCTGTAGTAACAGTCCGACTCGTTGAACTTGACGTCGTGAGAAGCAAATAATTGGTAGGTGACCGGGTCGTAGAAAAACCAGCCGGAGGTGTCCAAAGGGATACCAAGAAAGACGCAGGCAAGAGTGCGCGGAGACAACTTCTTCGTGTGTGGGGCGCGAACGAGAGCCAGACAAACCCAGATGCGGAAGTCAGTTGCTACTCCAGGAGAACCTTTCCAAAGGGAGACCAGCGTCATTTGTGGGCATGCGTCACTAGGCCACAGGTTCAGCTGGTGCGCGGCGCACCAGACTGCGTGAGGCCACAAGAACATGGGGGGCACCGGCATGACACATGGAGGTCTGGGCAACCTCCATGACCAAGCCGATGCGTCGCTCGGCTACCCTGTTCAGCTGCGGCGAGGTTGGTAGTGTGTAGGACTGGATGATCCTCTGACCTTGACAAAACGTCTCTAGGCGAGTGGAAGAAAACTCACCACCACGGTCCGAGTGTAGGCGAAGCCCACACAGGCCCTGGGTGCCACCTCTCACTAGTAGCTATGGCTCGAGGATGGTAGGCACGTCGGCCTTCCGTCACAAGTGGAAACCCATGGTGTAGCGGGAGTAGTTGTCCACCACAATCAGGAAGTAGCGCTCCTGACATGGGCCAAGGACCGGGGAGGGGCCCCAGACGTCCAACTGCAGGGTCTGGAAATGAGCCATGGGGAGGGGGGCGACGAGGAGTGAGGGGCAGCGCACTGCCGACCCTCAACGCAAGGAGTGCACGGCGGCGCAGGCGAGCGAGGAAGCGGGGCAAGCGACTCTGGGAGACCTGAGACCAGACGGTGACGCGCCTTCCTACTGAAACGTGGGAACGACGGGTGACCTAAACGGTGGTGCCAGAGGACCGACGGGTGGGTGAGGGACCGACAGCCACACGACACAGCAGCTACCTGAGCTAACCTGACCTGGCCTGACCCCGCGTGGTGGGACCCAGTGTGTAGTAAGTACAGACCAGAGCCTGGAGAAGGTCTTCATCCTCTAGAACAATGAGCTGATGTGTAATCCCAGGGAGGAAGGAGGGTTGGGGTTGCTGTGCCCCAAGAAGAGGTTCGACAGTGTTGCAATACAGAACGTCGAGCGTATGATGCTGCACGATATTCCGGTTCAGAAGTGGTTGACCTCGTGTGCAGCCGCGCATAAGTCCATGTTCAAGCACTGAAAGGAAGGGAGCAAACTGTGGAAAGAAATGACGTGGGCTTTCTGCTGGGACTCGCCCTTCTATGTCCCCCCGAGCCGGCAAATCGGTGGGAAGCGAAGCGGGAACGACTTGCGTTCAATCGGTGCATACCTTCCAGAGGGTCTAGCCCCTTCGGGAATAAGAAGGGCTCGAGCTGCTTACTGGGTTTGACGATGGGAGATCTAGTGCAGCGGCTGAATAACGGTGAACGGGTGCTCAAGAGTGAGGAGGAACTGACAAGGGAGCTTGGCAGCAAAGATGCGGCGAAAATGGCACTGAAGGCGTTCGAGGCGGTGCCAGTCGAGTGGAGGAAACTGATTTTGGAGAAGCTGGCGTGCGAAGAAGTTGTTGCAGATCGCCTGCAAGTCACAAGTCAGCGGCACGGAAGGGGACAAGGTGGTTTGTAGGCTGTGCGAGGTAAGCAGTGACGGTACCTTCACGGCCTGCGAGGGGAACAATTTGACAGTCAACTTCGGGCTTCAAAGTGGGGTGCCGCTGGCAACCCAAGGCAGCAAGGTGCTGGGGCAGAGGGTCGAAGCGCGAACCAAACTACTCCAGTCAAAGCTGTGTGGAGGAGAGGAGGTGCTGCCGCTGAGAGAGATCAGGAAAACCCTCCTTAGCTCGGGAGGCACTGTGAAGGAGCAACGGAGGTGGATTGGGGACGGGAGAGTCATCGAGTGGAGGAGGGTCATCAAGGAGAGGGACACTTTCGCCACACCTGCCCGGGCAAGAGAAATACTTCTGCGGCTTCATTGTATAAACCTGCAAGTGGGGGAACGTCTTTTTTGTTAGAATCTAGCAGCAGGAATGATTGCACTATGGAAGAGTTGGGTACAAATATGAAACCCTAAAGTGGGTTGTACCCCATATTGGCTACCCCACTATAGCCTAAACATGTATAGTAGATATAATAGTAGACACACCCCCATAGGCAAAGTGGGGGAGAGCAAGGGGTCACAAGACCAGTCAAGAGAAGCAAAGCAAGCTCAGGGTGGATCACAACGTCACCACTCACACTGAGCACAAGCAAAGGGCCACAAGGCCAGTTCACATGCAGAGTTATATATGCAACAACAACAGTATAGTGATCTCTACCTAGCAGAAAAGGCATGCAGGTATATATATATAGATCACAGTACAAGCAAAGTCTACTGTCGCTGTCCTTTGCGGCCCCATCGCCGCCCCCTCTAGGCCCCTCGCGGCCCCTTCGCGGCCCCGTCGCCGCCCCTAGCGGCCCCGTCGCCGCCCTTCGAGGCCCCTCTCGGCCCCTTTGCGGCCCTGTCGCCGCCCCAAGCGGCCCCGTCGCCGCCCCTATCGGCCCCGTCGCCGCCTCTAGCGGCCCCGTCGCCGCTCCTACTGGCCCCGTTGCCGCCCTTTGAGGCCCCTCGTGGCCCCTTCGCGACCCCGTCGCAGCCCCTAGCGGCCCCGTCGTAGCCCTTCGAGGCCCCTCTCGGCCCCTTTGCGGCCTCCTCGCCGCCCCTAACGGCCTCGTAGCCGCCCTTATCGGCCCCGTCGCCGCTCCTAGCGGCCCCGTCGCCGCCCCTATCGGCCACGTTGCCGCCCCTAGCGGCCCCGTCGCCGCCCTTCACGCCCCCCCCCCTTCAGCTGCCAAGCGGCCGAACCACCGAGCCGCCGAGCCGCCTAGCCGCAGAGCCGCCCAGCAGCCGAGCCGCCCAGCAGCCGAGCCGCCCAGCAGCCGCGCCGCCCAGCAGCCGAGCCGCCCAGCAGCCGAGCCGCCCAGCAGCCGAGCCGACCAGCAGCCGAGCCGCCCAACAGCCGAGCCGCCCAGCAGCCGAGCCGCCCAGCAGCCGAGCCGCCCAGCTGCCGAGCCGCCGAGCCGCCGTCGAGCCGCTACTGTTCCTACCGGCGCGCACCGGCCCTTCCCGCCCGGACTAGTGAGAGCACTCCCTGTTAGACCACTGCTGTCATGGCTACCCCTAGTGTCCTTAGCTTTGATGCTGAGGGTCGTGCTGTTGACTTTGAGGTATGGGTCGATGACCTCCAGCTCTTCCTACAGTGCGATAGGGCAGACGGACTCTCCCTATTTGATCTCACCTCTGGTGCCTCTCCTGCCCCACTTGCTACTGCTGACAGCACTGTTCGCTCACAGTGGGCCACGCGCGATGCTGCTGCCCGTCTTGCTGTGCGTCGCCACTTACCGACCGCTGAGCGTGCGCACTTTAGTCAGTACAAGAGTGCTAAGACCTTGTACGACGCTGTAGTTGCACGCTACTCTTCCCCTGCCACTGCTGCTCTTAGCCGCCTCATGCTGCCGTTCCTGTTCCCTGACCTTGCTGCCTTTCCCACAGTCGCTGACCTCATTACGCACCTTCGCACTAGTGACACTCGCTACCGCGCTGCGCTTCCTGCTGAGTTCTGTGCCAAGAACCCTCCCCCCATGTACATCACCCTCTACTACATAGTCACCCAACTCCCTGACTCCCTTCGCTTAGTCAGGGACCACTTCCTCTCAGTTTGCCCCACCACACTCACCGTTGACCTCCTCCAGGAGCGCCTCCTAGCAGCAGAGAAGAGCATAATCGCTGTAGGAGCCTCTCGTGGTGACCCTCGTACCCCCGTCTTTGAGGGGTGTCCCCCCCCCCCCCTCTTGCCCTCTGTTGCTTCTGCTGCTGCGGTCGACCTCGTTGGTTTCGAGTCGGTCGGCGCTGCGTCTGCCCCTAGCGAGAGACGCCGCACAGGCAAGGGCAAGGGGGGCAAGGGCGCAGGAGGGGCTAGCGGGGGCGGTGGAGGTGGCGGTGGAGGCAGTGGAGGGGGTGGGGGTGGTGGTGGGAGTGGTGGTGGGGGTGGAGGTGTCGGTGGCAGCAGTGGAGGCGGAGGAGGCGGCGGCGATGGCGGTGGGAGCGGAGGTGGCGGAGGCGGCGGCGGCGGCGGCGGCGGTGGAACTGTTCGCGGCTCTGCACAGAGGAGTGGCTCCGGTGGTGGTCAGCGCCAGCAGCAGCAGCGCACTCGTGAGACCCTGTCCCCCCAGCAGCTTCTTGAGTGGTACGCTACATGTCAGCGAGGTGGGGGTACTGGTCCCTGTACCTACGTCCTCCGTACCGGCGACCGCGCTGGTGAGCAGTGCGGGGGCTCGCACTCCACCCAGCGCTGCTTCGACCGCCTGACGGATGCTTGGCGTCACCAGTTCCCTGACGCCACTGAGATCCCTCGCTGGGGAGAGCTGTCTAGGGTGGGGGTTGCTATCTTTGATCTTGACTATGATGCTATTCTTGCTGCCATGTATGCTGTGACTATTAGTGATGAGGGTGACTGTTACCTGTGTGTTCCGCCTGACCCGGGCATTGAGGCTGCTGCTCTAGGTGCTGGTGAGGCTGCTGCTCTAGGTGCTAGTGCGTCTGCTGCCCCAGGTGCTGGTGAGTCTGCTTAGGTACCACGTCAGCTCAGGCCTTACACACCTTCACCCTTGACTCGGCTGCTTCCCGCTCCTTCTTTCGAGACCACACCACGCTTGCGACGCTTATTCGGCCAGTTGCGATCTCCCTGGCGGACCCCTCTGGGGGTCCTGTCCTTGCTCCCTTTTCCACTGTCTTACCGTGTCCGGCAGCCCCTTCTGGCACCCTGTCAGGTCTCTACCTCCCCTCGTTCTCTACGAACTTGGTGAGTGGTGCTGACCTACAGGATGCGGGTGTTCACCAGTTCACTCCTGCGAGTCAGCGGGTGACCCACTGCACGTGTGCCCAGACGGGCCGACACTTGGCCACGTTCACCCGTCGGCCGGGGTCGAGCCTGTACACACTGACTACTGAGTCTGCTCCGGTTGCTGAGTCTGGTCAGGTAGCTGCGTCGATTTAGGTGTTTGCTGCAGCGTCCAGGTCTGGTCCTGAGTCTGCTCCCTGCTCGTGTCGTCTCCTGTCCCACCAGACTCTCCTTTGGCACCACCGCCTTGGTCACCCCTCCCTGCCTCGTCTCCGAGGCATGGCCTCCCGTGTTCTTGTCTTTGGTCTCCCCTGGTCCCTCCCTCCCCTCCCTCCGGGGCCTGCCCCTACCTGCGTTCCCTGCGTCAAGGGGCGGCAGCACGCCGCCCCTCACTCCTTCGAGTTTCCTCCGACAGAGGCTCCCCTGCAGACTCTTCACATGGACGTGTGGGGCCCCGCCCGCGTGCGTGGCCAGGGTCACGAGCGTTACTTCCTATTGGTGGTTGACGACTACTCGCGTTACACCACGGTGTTCCCCTTGCGCAGCAAGGGTGACGTCACTGAGGTGTTGATCCACCTGTCAAACACTGTATATGTGTTATTGGTGTGTAGGCTATAGTGGGTTTGCCTATAGGGGGTACACAACTTTTAGGATTTCATACTTGTACTGCAATGCTGCCTAGCTCATTCACTTCTCTCATTTACGAGCCTAGGTTAGGAACCTAGGACCGTTCCTAAGGGCCCACCTTTTCTGCTCGAAGCGCCCTGGTGCGCCGTCCTTCCTAGCGCCCTCGTGCGCCTCGCTCCTAGTGCGCCCTCGTTTTCTCCTCAGCTGCCCGTGTGCAGCCGCTAGACGCCCGCGCGAGCGGCCCGCTTTTAGGTCGCGTCGCCCGCTAGCCGCCGGCGCGCGGCCCGCCAGCTGCTCGCGCCGCCCTCTCTGGCCTCGCGCGGCCCTTAGCGCGGCCCGTCAGCCGCTCGTCGACCGCCCCGTGCCGCCGCCGCGTCCCCTTAGGACGCCGCTCGTGCTAGCCCGCCGCTTGCACGATCGCCGCCGCCCGCACGGACGCAGCAGCGGCCCACGCGCAGCTGCACCCTAGGCGCCGCCGTGCACCGTCGATAGGCCCGCCGTCGCGCCGCCCTCCCTGCCCAAGTCGCGCCGCCCGAGCCGCGCCGCCTGAGCCGCGCCGCCCTGACCGAGCCGCGCCGCCCGAACCGCGCCGCCCTTACCGAGCCGCGCCGCCCCACCTGCAGCACCTACTGTTGCAACTATTACTCCTACTGCTACTACTGTTTGTACTGCTACTGCTACTGCTACTCCTGCTCCTGCCACTATGGCCAGTCCCACTGTTCTCACCTTTGACGCCGAAGGCCGCCCGATTAAGTTCGATGTCAGGCTTGATGACCTCCACTTGTTCCTCCAGATCACTGCCAAGGACGATGTCTCACTGTACGACCACACGTCAGGCGCTGCTCCTGCACCTCCCGCTACTGCTGACAGTACTGCTCGCTCCCAGTGGCAGACTCGTGATGCTCACGCCCGCCTAGCCGTTTGCAGTCACCTGCCGTTAGATGAGCGCGAGCACTTCGGCCAGCATAAGACCGCTAAGGAACTGTACGACGCAGTAGTCGCGCGCTACTCCTCCCCTGCCACTGCTGCTATAGGCCGTCTCTCACTGTCCTACCTCTTCCCCAACCTGTCCGCCTTTACCACTGTAGCTGACCTCATCACCCACCTTCGTACTAGTGACCTCCGCTACCGTGCCGCACTCCCCCTAGACTTCCTCGCCAAGAACCCCCCCCCCCGATGTACCTCACACTGTACCACCTTGTCACGCGCCTCCCCGACTCCCTTCGCACAGTCAGGGACCACTTTCTAGCCCTCTCCCCCACTGAACTCACTGTCGACCTCCTCGAGAAGGAACTCCTAGCAGCTGAGAAGAGCATTGTAGCTGTAGGTGCCTCTCGTGGCGACCCTCGCACCCCCTTCTATGAGGGGTGCTCCCCCGTCCCCCTCCTCCCCTCCATTGCCTCTGCTGCTGCTGTCGACTTCCTCGGAGCTGAGGGGGTCGGGGCTGCGTTTGCTCCTAGTGGGAGGCGCAAGGGCGGCAGGGGCAAGGGGGGCAAGGGTGGTGGAGGTGGAGGCGGGGGCGGCGGCGGTGGAGGGGGCGGGGGTGGTGGAGGAGGTGGGAATGGCGCGGGTGGTGGGGGGGTCGGTGGCGGCACAGGGGGTGGTGGAGGCGGCGGTGGTGGAGGTGGTGGGGGTGGTGGTGGCAGTAGTGGCGGCGGTGGAGCGGGTGGCGGGCGCGGTGGAGCGGTACAGCGGGGGAGGTTTGGCGGTGGCCAGAGGCAGCACCAGCAGCGTCCCGGTGAGACTCCCTCGCCCCAGCAGCTCCGTGAGTGGTACTCTCAGCGTGGGGGGTCTGGGGGTGGGGGTACTTGCCCGTACATCATCCGCACAGGTGACCGCACTGGCCAGACTTGTGGGAGGTTTCACACGGCACAGCGCTGCTTCTTTCGCCTCGACGACGCCTGGCGCGAGCAGTTCCCTGACGCCTCTGAGCTGCCCCGCTGGGCTGATCTGCTTAAGAAGGTAATTGATATCTTTGCTCTTGATTATGATGCTATCCTTGCTGCTATGTATGCATTGACTATTAGTGTTGAGGGTGACTGTTACCTGAGTGTACCGCCCGACCCAGGTATTGAGACCGGTGAGGCTGCAGCTCTAGGTACTAGTGCGTCTGCTGCTCCAGGTCCTGGTGAGGCTGCTGCCCTAGGTGCTAGTGCGTCTGCGTCTGCTGGTACTGCACCTACTGAGGCACTTCACACATTCACACTGGACTCAGGTGCTTCCCGCTGTTTCTTTCGTGACCGCACTGCCCTAGAGCAGCTCCCTAGACCAGTTGCTGTCTCCCTAGCTGACCCCTCAAGGGGTCCGGTCCTTGCGACCTCCACCACTGCCCGCCCTTGTCCTGCTATCCCGTCTGGCACGCTGTCGGGCCTCTACCTCCCCTCGTTCTCTACGAACTTGGTGGCGGGTTCCGCGCTCCAGGACGCGGGTGTTCACCAGTTCACCCCGGCCTACGAGCGTGTGAAGCACTGCACGTGTGCCCGGACGGGTTGTCACCTGGCTACCTTTACTCGGCAGCCGGGGTCGGACCTGTACACCCTGACCAGTGAGTCGCCTCAGGTAGCTGCGTCTGCGTCTGCGTCAGGTCAGCTGTCGGCCCCCTGCTCGTGTCGCTCCCTGTCGCACAGGACTGTCCTCTGGCACTACCGCCTTGGTCACCTGTTAGTGCAGCGCCTTTGTGACATGCACTCTAGGTTCCTTGTCTCTGGTCTTCCCAGAGTTCTCCCTCCCCTACCACCCTCGCCTGCTCCTCCCTGTCTTCCCTGTGTCGAGGGGCGGCAACGTGCCGCTCCTCACTCCTCCTCGTTCCCTCCCACAGAGGCTCCCCTGCAGACTCTTCACCTGGACGTGTGGGGCCCTGCCCGCGTCCGGGGACAGGGCCACGAGCGGTACTTTCTGCTGGTCGTCGACGACTACACGCGCTACACCACGGTCTTCCCCTTGCGTACCAAGGGTGAGGTCCCTAATGTCTTGATCCCCTGGATCCGCGCTGCTCGTCTCCAGCTCCGCCAGCGGTTCCACTCGGACTTTCCTGTCCTACGTTTGCACTCTGACAGAGGTGGCAAGTTTTCCTCTGACCTCTTGGCAGCCTACTGTGCGGAGCACGGCATCCGCCAGACGTTCACTCTCCCGGCCTCTCCGCAGCAGAATGGGGTTGATGAGCGCCGCATTGGTCTTGTCATGGAGGTCGCTCGTACCTCCATGATCCATGCGGCTGCCTTCCATTTCCAGTGGCCGTTTGCAGTGCAGTACGCCGCGCATCAGCTCAACCTCTGGCCCCGTGTCTCCGTTCCGGAGACCTCGCCTACCCTGCGTTGGACAGGGGAGGTTGGCGACGCGTCGGTGTTCTGAGTCTAGGGATGTCGTGCCTTTGTCCGCGACACGTCCGCGGACAAACTCTCCTCCCGTGCGGTTCCATGTGTCTTCCTGGGCTTTGTCCTTGACGCGCCTAGCTGGCGGTTTTACCACCCCACCTCGCGCCGTGTCTTCGCCTCTCAGGATGTCACCTTTGACGAGTCGGTACCCTTTTACTGTCTCTTCCCCTACCGCACTGCCCCGCTTCCCCCCCCGCCGATCTTCCTCACCCCAGGTGTCCCGTCGGTAGACCCCCTCCCTCCCCAGGGTGCTGCTCCATCAGAAGTTTCCCAGGTAGACCTGGTCGAGCCTGTCGAGGTAGCTGTTGACTCTGG